GCCCACCCTATCTCGCACCAGGGACTGAAAAAGCATTAAGTAATAACACGCGGCGGATCTGCTGCTCTAACTGATTGAGAGATCCATCCTGGTGCTCTTCCACCACCACCACCACCACCACCAGGGTCAAAGTGGTCGCAGACAATTTAATGATGTTTTGCTGTCTTCCTCCTAACAGGATGACCGTTAGACGTGGAGAGAACAAGGTAGACAACCCCATGTGGATGTTCTAGTTAAGCGCGATGACGATCAAATGTGATCAGCGGAGATAAGCGATTGTGCGGTGATGATTTATGGCTATCTGGGAAAGGAGAGGGGGTGACGTCTACGAAGGAATGAATGTTGCTGCAACAGCGGGGCGAGCGCAGTTGCTAGCGAGAACCACACACAACTGTGATGTACACGTGGGACTATTGCATGCCGAAACATGCGTTCCAAAAAGACAGCATGGATGAGAACATGGTCTGGGGGATGGGAGGAATGTGGGTGTAGCAACAAGGAGCCGAATTTGCTTCGAACTGGTGCGCGTACACGAGACAAAAAAAACAACATTCGGCCAAACAACACGGGGTCAGGCGCCTTTTAATGCTGTACACAATAAGGACAATTGCTGCCGGTTATCTTGCTCGGCCCTTCGTCTGAGCATGTATATCAGTCGGAACGATGAGCTGCCTTAACCGCGTACGTATTTGTCAAGAGTGAGGATAAGTCAGCCTAAATGAAGAGCCAAGCCAAGAGACCCATTCGCGTATGGTGTGAAGTTGAACTCAATCGGTGTGAGCAACTGCACGCTGCCATGGTGTCCTTCGATTCAGCCATTCATCTAACCAACCCGCATCTCACGCCGTACGATGGAGACGGACGGTGATAGCAACCAGATAGACAAAGGAGACCAAGACGGATACAGTGCGGAAGTTTGTAAGATACGTGCATAGAGACAAGGTGAGCTGGATCGTAAACAAGGTGACAGCTACGTGTCAAGTGCGTTTCAAAGTTTAGGGCACCTGTGGGTCAGTGTCAGATGGCAAGGCTAGATACTGCAAGCAACAGAATCGCAGTGAGATGCGATGTAGTAGGGAGTATAGAGCAGTGAGTATAGTTTAACTTGCTGAGGAATCAAGAAGCGCAGAATAGGACACAGATGGGAGGTGAAGACCGTGTGTCGGTGACCATACGTGCGGCACATGCAGAACCAGAATCAGGAGGAAAAAGGGAGTGATTCCGAGTTGACACGGCGTCAAACAGTAGTGTGAGCGTTGTCGAATTTCCGAAAAGATGGCAACAACAAAATTGCGACCATACGGCTGGTATGTGCAAAAAGAAGGAGTCCTCACATAGGCTTTCCACTGTAAAACTACATGAAAGGGAGCGGACACAAGAGTAAAACATAGGTTTCGAGTGAATGGGTCATCATCTGAGCGACACACCAGTTAGTCAATTGGACGGTTATTTCAACCGGCCCAGTTCAATTGGTCAAAAATATAACCTGATGTTGTCGTGTTGGCGTCGATAGTCATTAACAATGGTGGTGTAGAGAGCAGCGAATGCAGGGGTACCCCCGTACTGCAGCATCGCAGAAAAAGCTGTTGAACATTGGTAAAACGTGCCTAAAGGCTCACCAAACTAGTCGTTCGATCAGGGTTTTCAAGCGGTTGGCGAGATAGGGTCGAACTCATTCATGCGTAATGTCGGCCAACGTCATATCCACCAGCCTATACCCACGGCATCCTCAGTGGGTTTGATGTTAAACACCAATTGGCAAATGTCTGCATTACTCTCCTAGAACTTGCATCAGCTATGTGCAATGCATTGCAAGCATCAGTGACGAAAGACGAACATTTTCATCCACATTCTCAAAGAGTACCGGTTATCTCAACGTTTCTAGGAGTAACATTTAGAGTGCCACAATCATCTGTAATGAAGACCAACATTGGAAACATTCGAGGCGCGCCCAAACGACCGCAATCGTAAGTCCCACGATGTACTTCAGCAACTCATACGACTCATCTAAACCAGACAATCCTGTAATTGAAAGAAATTCGACAAAGGCAACAGCTGTGTGGACAGTGAAGTGTTGGGAATGTGTTAACGATCCGATAAGGTCACCTGCACTGAGGGATCGGGAATGGAAGTGGGTGCATAGGAACGAGTGTGGAGGAAGTCCAAAGGAGGGAAAATTCCAGTCACCATAATTAGACTCAGCCGGAAGGCCATCACACACTGGAAAATGCACTGGACGGCCGTTATATCCTTTCAGGAACAGCAGGAGTAATGCGCATCTCATATGTCACCGGATGGTTTAGAATCAGTGGCCGTGGTTAGGGCTATCAGGCAACGGAGAACGATAACGGTCGACATGACTAGATGTGGCATAGTGCAGTTCCGTCTCCACTGGTTAACATGTTACTGCGTAAGAGAAGGAGTAGTCACTGTTCAAGGAAACGGATTCCTGAGAAAACGAAATGACCGTCCAGTGCTTTCTCGGGTGTGTGATGCCCGGGTGGTTGTGTAGCGGTGATGATCTCAGCCTACACCGTTAAAATCCCCGCATTACTCGTATGTAATATGCCAAGAACACGCGAACACATCACGATATAGGGGAGGTTTGCAGACGAGCAGCGCACGATCGAAAGCTGGAATCTTAGGATCTCACACAAATTGTGACTTCGCAGTGCCACCGTTTCGGTGTATCAGATAGTCAGCTGACGTGTCGTCAATCGGGAATATGCTCCAATTCAATGCGGTCAAGTGCGAGGTGCTGCGCATACGCTATCAGGGCATTCACGAGTATCAGTCAAGGTCACAACTACTGCAGCGGAATTCACATGTGAGAGATCACAGAAGGCGCATACAAAGTGGTTTTGGTTGCTCGAGGCAGACTGATAAATGAGGAAGAAGGAAACCAGTCAGCACTTTGGCCTCACGCGGTTGGACCGAAACGTTTAGAGCCTTTCTAAGGAAATAAACACCCGTGTAATTTAAATGAAATTGTTCACAATCTGTTGCCTTTCCTTTTTATAGTAATTCAAGTACATATTGCCAACTCCGTGTTGTGTCCACAAAGGTTTGAAGTGAACAGATATTAGTGATTTGTTGAAAATGGTGCAATTGGAGTATGGTGTCGGGAGCAAATATTCTTATCTCCAAGGAACGGCGCCATCTAAAACTCACAAAAATATACTTTCTACACTATACATGACAACAGAACCTACATATGCATCACGCAAAAGCTAAGTGCAAGAAGTCAAGCATGGAAAATACAGTGTCGAAGATGAGCCAAAGTTAGGGAGACTAACAATTTCCATGATGAAAGAAAACTTGCCGTGTCGTCGACATGATAAGGAGAGATCGTTATTTAGTAAAAAGTGAAGTGACACCTCACAGGAGCGAACAGATGAGACTCTGTAGAGTGAATTTGACAACTCAAAAGTTGCTGCTCGCTACGTCCCTCATCATTTACCCCTCGAGCAGAAGCGCGTTCGGCGGAGCATGGCAACGAACATTTTGGGATTGTTTGAAGCAGATGTTAGAAATTTTTTTGTTCTCTCTTACTATGGAGGAGTACTGGATCTACCATTACCAGTGTGAAAGAAAGAACAATTCAAGAAACTGAAGGATGCTACATCTCCGACGCAGAAGGAAGTCAGGGAAATTCCTTTAACCGAGGTAATGTCATCACTGTTAGGGGATGAGGATGGATCTCCTTGAAAGAGATCATACCATCACGTGGAAAAATTGCGTTGAGTTACTGAGAAACCTTAGAAAAAATCCGAGAAAGAAGCCAGGAATGCTAACATAAAGAAATTCCATCCACCTTGGTGACGCTTCGGCCCACATGTCAGCAGTTTCTAGGGTAATAATTTGCCACCGCAAGCGTTAAATTGTTCTTCCATCAGTCTATTCACCAGACCTGATTTCCGCGGACTTCCACCTGTTCCCCAAGCTAAAAACGCTTTAGCCGGACGGCGATTGCCCCACAAAAAGAAACGTCATACCTGTCATTGAGGGATCCTTAGGGCTGCATCATGGTTTATTTCCTCTAATACAGACGCTTTAGCACCGCCGGCGCAAGTGAATTAACATTCAGGGGATTGTGTTTTCAACATCCGTCAGTTACCCCCGTATTTTCGCAGATACCTGATGGGTACGTGAGACAGCATGTACAGTACGTTATTCATGCCTGACAGCTCTGGCGGAGGCATGATTGAGGCATAAGGTAAGCAATTAATAGTAAAGACCTAACACACTTCCCAAACCAACCTAGGCTGAAAGCCGCAGGAATGTAAAAGGGCTGATCTCGTAATGATGTATCATGTTCTGACAAACTCCGATCACGTTCTATGCCTTCTGTTGAAATGCAGCCAAATGCAATATTGCTCAGTACAATCTCAACCAACTCATGAATAAGGAGCTAGGCACGCGACTATAAAGAAATCGGTTGAAACTACGACGACTGATCAAACTCTTGTCACGGAGTCAAGAAGCAAACATTTCAGGTTCCGGTAGAGGGCAGTGGCCTGGTGATTGGAATCCATACTTCGGAAAGAGCGGATCGCGGGCTTTAGCCCTTCACTGAGGGGATGTAATATGCGTTGCACATAAGCACCGAATTGACAAAACGGTCGTCCAGCACTTCGTCGAATATGTGGTGGTGAATATCTTTTGGAAATTGGGTATCAGCTAATACGTACTTACATGGGGAAGTGTTTCATTGACTGGGCTGCATTCAAGTGAAGGGCAAAGGTGAATAACTAGGATGAATGACGTCAACATAAGGTAGAAAGGAAGACGGAAACCCATGTACCGCGGATCAAGGTGAGTGCAATGAGAGCAGGCTGCTTAGATTGTAGTAAGGTGATGTTTACGTACTTGTCTGAGATGTGGCAACAATGTCACGGCCTCAGAGAGCGCTCCTCATCTCAGTTGACCGGCTTATGAGGGTACTGATCGCATGGTGTACACTCGGAACGCGTGCGCAAGAAAGCTGATAGGGAACTAACCTTTTTTAGACATTCCTGCTGAGAGACAGCGCCGAAATCGACAACTTTTGCAGGCGTTTCTGCTGCGTGGTGTGATAGTGCATGTATTTTGACCACCTACGCAGACGAGGGAGCCAGCTGAGCCTTCAGTACGTCGGAAAAATCCCTGTGCACAAATTAAAAAGGCAACAAATATAGACGTGACGTTGACGAACTGGTGGAGAAAGCAATTTGCTCAAAGGATGTGACGATGCCCCCAATAGTTCAGGTCTCGAATGGAAATAAACCGCTTCGGAAGACAACACAGATAACAAATGAGGCCGTTAAATCGGTTTTATGAAACCCACATTAGTCAGTACGATAAAACGTGCACGTCTGCAATGGGGTAACTCCGGAAGGTGTGCTGGATAACTCCCTGATCGGCTACGAGCACAGATTATCTACGTGTAACGGGTAAGAGTAGTAGAGTTGTTAACACATGAACAGACGATTAGTACATGCTGATTGACCTACACTAGTCAGGTCAATTCCTTCGCAGGCAGTAGAGGTCAGCCCGTTGCTTGTCGAGATTGCGCCTGGCCAAGGAAAGACCCGAAGAGCCCACAGGAAACGAAGAGAAATAATAGAAAGGTGACTAAATACTTAGATTGTGTAAATGCAAGTTATCTAAACCGATATGATTCGAAAATCTGTCAGACAAAGGAGCATAGGAAGCTAAGGATGGTACTGCGTTTGTCGTATTCCTTGTCAATAAAAAGTAGAACACATTCCTACTTGTCAAACTGACAGTAAAGATGTGAGCGCTGTTCACTTGTCGAGTATCAAGCCTGTTCAGCCTGATCCTTGAAGTGCACCTATCGCTTTGTTGCGCTTTTGCTCATTGTGGCCCACATACTCAGTCACGTGAAGAGTGGCAAAAACGCAACGCTGCACACGAGGCCCAGTGCACCCGGACGGTACCGTATCTAGGTGAAAGATTGACGGTGTGTTCGCACATGCGTGGGAAGTAACACCGTATGACACAACAGCTACGGTAACTCAAGGGGGAGCAACGGGTTACGCCGCCGATGCGAATTGCTAGGGATGACGAAGTGAACCGACGTGGAGTAAAGTTATGCGCTAAAACGATACTTTCATGGTGCAATAGAACGTAGCGTCATCCCTGCTGGGTTTATATCTAGTGCCACGCAGCTCTTTCCCGATGGATTCTACATGCGTTAATACACTAGTGTTTCACAATGCATGTGCTGTGATTCAGCAGTTACCCGGAATCACACATGCGTGCCAGGTAAGTATGGTCGGCGTGCAAACAAAGGCTTCCAAGATCGGATTTCTATCATCGTAGAATAGACACAGCATGTGTGGGCGAACGTAAACGCTTCCTGATTGAAGCCAGCTAAAGTGGGAGAAAAATCAGAAAACTAAGTGAGAATACTTGGCGGTAGTTACCAAGTCAGATATCCTACTACGCATCCGGAAAAGTACTAGACAGCCGTCTCGTCCTATTCGGACTCGTCAGTAATGTGTATCCCCCGGCTCCACCGAGAATCGAACCCAAGGACTCTAGACACCATTGGTTTTTGTTGATACGCCAAGGCGGCAGATCATCATAACTTGTGAAATAACCGTGAGATAACGCGAATCATTCTCTACCACCATGCAAATTAGAAACTTTGCAGGGGACAAGGTTGGGTCTCAGAATCACTGCTTCCAATAACAGCAGCGATGTATGATACAATGCGGGGGGGAGGTGAGTTAACACAGCAGTTATGTCGAACCGACATGAGAAGACAGGTACCACGTAGTGACCAATGCAAGTAACAATGGTTTTATACGGGTAAAAAAGCTGATGCTTAACAATTCCCGTAGAATGGCTATAGTGAGACTACAAAATATAAAAAAATAATTGTTAGCGAAATTGGGTTTACGCCGGTGAACTCATTGAGCTATACGTAGTACAAGCTGTAAATCCAAGGTAATTCCAAAAGGAATAACGGTAAATGGGATGTTGGTAAAAATCGTGTCTCCTCCTGGTGTACACATACAGGAGGTGAAAAAGTGGAACGAAATCTGGGATTTGACCGCCAGTGAAATCTCTTACAGACACTTGTGTTTATCCATGGGTAATAGGTCATGTAAGATGGTGCAGCGAAATAAGTACACGGTCAACTCGGGCTTTGAACTCTGCCAGCGTGGGAGCACATATGACAGATTCCAGGAGGGCATTCCACATTCTGCAAGGGCGTACGGAAAAGCAATTCCGACGGCATTCCAAACCACTGTGCTGCACTACCAGCTTAAGAAGCTGGCCTCCCAAATTGCTGTTGTGACTGAGCTCTAGCAAGTGGCGGCACGTGTGGTTGGGATCTCTCAAAATCTGGTAAGTCAAAATGAGGTCCCCGCGCAATCGCCGATACTGTCCGCTGAAGACCCCGAGCAATTGAAGCCTTCGTTCACACGGCAAATTATACAGACCCTTGACATTTTTGGTTGCCCGGCGTTGGGGGATCTCCAAGGCGGTGAGATCTCTCCTCAGCCATGGCTGCCAGACCTGTATTGCGTATTCCCAATGTGGCCGTATGAGCCGAGAAGTTGTGGAAAAAGCGAAGGGTCGAATCATCCGAATGCACACTTCAGGAGACCAACGTGTTGGATGCCCCGTCTTGACTCCGTTTCAGCTTGCTTCGAGCATCCAAGGTCCGCCTGAACCAAAACTTCCAGATCCTTCTCGCCAGAAGCCGTTTGAAGCTCCTGGTTGACATTTGTAGGAGCACCCTACATTTGTCCACATTCAATCGAAGTAGATTCTGAATTGACTATGCGTATACCCTATCCAGATCAGCTTAAAGGACTGTGATATCATCTGGTGTATTGATCGCTATCCACCCCTTGATATCATCGGCATAAAGCAGGCAGTTCGAGCTTATGAGACATGTGATATCGTTAATATACGTCAAAATAATCGTGATCCAAGTACCGATTCCTGTGGTACTTCGCTTGCAACTCAGTTGGGATCTGACAGCGATTCATGCACTCGTACTTCTAGGCGCCGGTGTAGAAGAAGCTTCTTATCCATTCTAAGAGAGGAGCACCAATACCAAAGGTCTGAATTTTGTAGAGCAGAATGTCATGGTCTAAGCGGTCGAACGTCTTTGAGAAGTCGAGAAAGACTACAGCAACGCCTGTACCAGAGTCTACTGCTTCAGTCCAGCTCGATTGTGCTAGTAGTAGATTTGTAATGCATGATCGATTGCGTCGGAAGCCATGCTGTCCTGATGCGAGGTAGTTAAATTCTTCCAAGTCGGCCATTAGTGCATCAGATATAATAGCCTCCATGACTTTTGAAATAACCGGTAGTAAGATTATGGGACGGTGGTTGACTGGATTGGAACGACTACCTCCATTGTGAATAGGAGTAATCATCCCGTGTTTCCTTATGTCGAGCACGTACATTTCATCAAACCAGTGTTGGAAGAATCGAGGCAAAGGCTTAGCTAAACTCTCACTTGGTAGCGGTAGCGATTTCGTGTATTATCAACTCCAGAAGAACTGTGCTTACGCATACTCACAAGCTTTTTTAGTACAGCTTCTGCTCTGAAGATATGTGCGTGAGACTTGGAGGTGAAACAACCATTGTCATAGGGTTATGTTGCCAGTGATTGTACTGAAATTATACAGCATATTGTTGCTGCATGGTATTCACCGCCTCCATTGATGTTCGTGCGGATCCGTCCACTGTTTGAAGAGGAAGAATTCCCCCATTACACCTTACGTAGACTGGTGACATGTTGCTACAGACGCCTGTGATTGGAGGCCATATGCAATACCAAGTTCACATGGTACGCCATTCTATCCTCGCGAACAAGCTAAGTACAGTGGTTACGTTGGGTCGCATAGGCCATCCAGTTCTCGATGCTCGGCGAGAGTTTGTAGATATGCCAGGCTGAGTTTCGCACTGCTATACGCTTGAATGTCCTGCTTCGCAAAAACGAGAACACTTTTCTCGGACGGAAGGTTTTAGTCGCTGACGCTTCGGCAAGCAGAGTTAAACTGGCTGACAAAATGTTCCCATGCAGTAACTGATACTTCGTCTGTCAGAAAGATCATTGCCTTAGTCACCTAGTTGTGCTAATATGTCGTAGTGTATTATCCTATCGTTGCGTCGGCAATTTCCACAGGGTATTCTGCATAGCAACTCTATTCGTAGAGTAGTACTGCATGATTGCTGCGGTCTAAGGGAAAGTCGACGATCATCCTCTCGACCATCAGTTCTACATTTGTGAATATCCGATTCAGTGTTGACGGTTTATCATTTTCTCGGAAGCGGGCAGAAGTGTTGATGTGGCCTGATGGCCTGATGTGGGTACCTGGAGACAAACTCTTGTAGATCGGCCATGAACTGTTCGCCGAGAGATGTGCTGGATTCCAGAGCGTCGATGCTGAAATCGTCAGTAATGAGAATTGGGCTGTAACTTGTGTTTATCGCCATCCTTAGTGCGGATGCCAAATAGAACTCCATCTCGGGTCTGGAGGAAGAGGGTGGTAAACAACTGCCACTAAACAAGTGTCGTCACCTTTTAAATGTAGACTGCACCAAAGCGAATCCTGTACCGTGTTGACCGGATCATCTATGAGCTCACATTGGAGGTCACTGCAGAAGTACAGAGTTACTCCTCCACCTTTGCTGGGTCGGTCGTGCCGAACAGTGGACATGCCTGGCAGTAACATCTCAATGTCACTAATGCCAGGGCGCAACCATGTCTCTGTTATAGCGATGAGGTCATAGGATTTTGATCTTTGACGCAGCCGCCCTTCAGAAAGTTTAATCAGTAAGCCTTGAGCGTTGGTGTACATCAGGAAAGATTCTTGCATGTCCAGTGATCTTAACTAGGAGCACATGAATGATGTAGATTTGTGCTGACCGATGAGAGGCTGGCATCTAATCGTTTTTTTGTGTGAATTGTCAAATCTAGATAGGAATGCACTCTGTTTTTGGTCTCGCTAGCATCTACGGTATGTAGTCCATCGGCAGCCTTCTCGATTTCTACTTGTCTTAGCGCACAGATTTCTGAATGGCTGTTGTGGTTTTATTGAGTCACAGGTGGTGTCGTTTTCGGGAGAACCATGAGTGACTGCATCTCTCTAACTGCTGTCTTCAGTCGTAGTTCCCAAGGAAATGTGTTCCGTAGTCACTGCCAGCTACGGATTAAATTCACGGCCACCTGTTGTGATTGCACCGTTAGTTTCAGTATCCTCGGACCACTGGCTCTGTAGTTTGGCGACAAGGGCAACCGTGTAAACGACTGAAGTATGACGTCGACCGCACAAAGAGCTTCACGGAGGTAACGTCATTCTTCCAGGTCATGAGCATGGGCTTCCTCATTGCTGGTTGTCGGTAACTCGGGCACCTCAAGAACAAAAATAATTCTTTTCCTACTCTTTGGGATTGTGTCCTGCTGGCGTTCGCTCCATGGAACATTCGGAAAATATATGCGTATTCCAATGTTTTCAGTCCGCAGGCAGTACGCCGATAAAAGCACCGTCTGGACATCATCTATTTATCCAAAATTTACTCTCATTAGCCGGGACTCCCCATAATGATTCGAGGTTGAAGGTCTAGTGATGCGCAGTATGTTGGTCGGACTAGCTTGAACGCCGATATTTCCATAAAGGAAAATCCATTGCTTTAAATCATCTAGCTGTATACCCCTTAAGGAGTTTGCCTTGGACTCACGAACGTTGGTGCATATACGTGTCAAGGCCCCGTAGTTCCGCTTTGTCTTCGGCAATGTGTGAAGCACGGTTATCGAGAGCTTTAGTGATGTCTGTGCAGGTTGGACCTGATCCTTGACTCGTTTTGCGGCTGTATTGGATGAGGCTACTGAGGTCGCACTTTGCTTATACCGAGCAGCAACTGTTGCATGGGTGGATCGGTCTTTAGAGCGCTTAAAAATTCGTCGGTCAATCGGAAGGGTGGGTGTTACCGATGTTGCATCAGTCGATACAGTGGATAAGAGAATGTAAGCGGTGGGGCTAGGCATGCTTCTATCGGTCGCGACGACGACTTGGTTAGTGACGCCCAAAGTTTTTAGTACTGCGTGGCCGTGTGAACGCCTGGACCTTTTCCTTGGTTTCGAGGCAACAATTGAGGGAGACGGATGAGGTGCAAAATGCGCTGTTGTTGCTTTGAACGAAGCAATTTTGCATTCGAACGATGTACAATTTTGGCGACTAGGCTGTCGAACTTGTGTGTTAACGCTAGTAAGCATTTTACTATTGGAACCGTCGTACACATCGGGCAGAACCAAAGTGAATCCGGCGTACTGTATTTCTTTACGTCAGTTCTACAGATGGTGACGCATTTCGAATTGTACCGGTCAGTGTAATTTGTACAAATCAACTCTCCTTTTACTATATTAGCATAAGTTTGATTAGTACAAAATACTTCGTTTCGGGTTACCCGTGTGGTGGTCAGGATGGCCGATTACTGTAGGACAAATGCAAAATGGCGGACACAGATGGCGGTCGGGCCAATCAATGAGAAGTCCGAGATTAGCCAGAGAACACCCACCAAATTTAAACAGATTGCAAAATACAGCCAAAGGAAATATATCGGTGCAGAATACACACAGAAAAATCACGTATAACGCAGTAATCCCGAAGCAAAAATGAGATGTAAAGTGAGCGACAGCAATTGCTAAATATCAAAACACCCTGCCTGGATGTAGCAAATCAGAGACGCTCACCTTGCAACCTTCGCATGTCAAAGCACCGAAATGGAATCCGGATGAACGACCACCGCAAACTCGACAGGGGATATTTGAGATATCGATGTCTGGTTGGGTCTCCGGATCTGAACGGGATGGAAGGCGCAACAAGTGGGACGGATGAAGCATCAATAGTGAAGCGATAGAAACAAAACAACTTTCCGATCGGAAATGTGGTGGGGACAGCTGGGGAACAGGAATGAAAAGGTGTGGGAAAGGTGCCTCGGTGCATAGAAAGATGCGCGAGGCACTGCTGTGTGGGAAAACGGTCTACAATACCAGTGAACGTGGGTTCAATTTGGACGCAGAAACGTGCAGGATAGATGCGCCAGTCGTCTTTCGGTGCGCCACGGTAAGTAGTATTGCATCCGGGATAAAAGATGTGGTACGAACGGGCAAATCGGGAGGGACCACTTCAAAGGCATGCTACAAAATGCGCACCCAGTGACTACTTCTCCGATGTCCGGAGAAGGAAGTCGTGGCGAGACGCGGTAGTATGTAAATGAAAGCCGCTTTAATGGGTAAAGTTTAACATACCAACTCTATGGTAGTTCGGGTTTCAATGAGTAACTTTCGGTACAACTTGGGCCTCTACAGACGGATGGCTACACTACGGATATGCAGTATACGGATAAGGTGCGGATGATTTGGTAAGAAAAATGTAAATTGTAGTCAATTCTGAACATTGGTCAGTAATTTCAACTCACAGAACCCTATACCAGTAAACCAACGCAGCTCACAAGTCATAAGGGTCGATAAACTCTGACTGTAAGTACTGAACTCAGTCGATGTCCCTGGAGGGCGATGACTTTCTATGACTAAAAATATGGTTTAAAGCAGCACCAGAGTGTTGAGCGATTGCGTGCTGCGTCTGGTGATGATGTGTCTGTAATAACCACCGTGTTTGAGTGGTTTGCTAAATTCAGGTGTAGCAGGCGGTTCCTGAATGATGAGACACGGTGTGGTCGATTTGTGGAGGCCACCATCGCAGATGACATTGATGCTGTGCGAGCGATGCTGGAGGATGACATGTGAATGATGGGGTACGGCTGGGGAAAGCTATCGAGAGAAATCCGCACTATCCTACATGAGAATCTCGGCCTAAGAAATGTTCGCGCACACTGAGTACCCAGTCAGTTCAGTGAGGACCAGAAAGTAGCTCGGGTGAATTTGTGCCGCACCGTGCTTGCCCAGTTTGATGGTGGAGGTACTACTTTTGTTTGGGAAACCCTCATTGGGGATGAGACTGGGGTGTACAATTTCGACCCAGAGACCAAGCAGCAATCGGCTCAGTGGACGGCCTTTGGTATGGCGCCGCCTCAGAAATGCCGGCGTGAGCACAGTGTGATCAAGCAGATAGTCGTTGTGTTCATGGCCAAGGCAGGTCAGGTGACTACGGCACCGCACAGTCACCGGAGACCGGTATACCACTCACTGTCTGCCACAAGTGCTGGAAACTGTAGCCAGATGTCGTCCAAGGATTCGAGCAAGATGGACCTTGCCGCACCATAACAATGCACCTGCATTCAGGTCCTCGTAGATTATCTGGATAGAGAATGCATCCAGGAGGTTGGTCAAACCCGGCTCCGTGTGACTCTTTTGTGTTTCCAAATGTAAAGTGCATGATGCGTGGAATCCGTTATCACTCTCCAGAAGCTGCAGTAGAGACCTTTATTGAGCTGCATGAAGGATTACCCACTTCGGTATGATCTAGCTGCTTCTCCAATTGGTTTGTGCACAAGGAACTGTGCATGAACGCTGATGGAGAGTAGTTCGAGAAAAGATATGGAAAAATAGGCGAACCCACCACTAGGATTCGTACGTGTGTAATCTTCAATGGGCACTGATAAACACCTTTGGTTAGATCAGAGATGCCGCCTGCGCATAGTCCAGTTTGGCCAAGATAGTCGTGACGTCCGGCTGAATCAACTGTGACGGCGTAATCCCAGCTCATAAAGCTGGACCGAGATAACCTACGGAGGAAAGTTCACCGACCGGCACTTGATAGATGACCTAGCGTCGGCGAGATAAGTTCGTTTCTCTCTGGCACCCGGTCAAGAGCAAAGCCAGATGGTGTTCCCCCCACCAGTTGCTGTACAATCAAGATGGCCTGCTCCATGAGAACAGGAGAACGAGCGAAGTCACATTCATTCAATGTGGACGTGATCCCTTCTCCTTCGAGTTACGTTTTACCATTGAGCTGTCGGTGAATTGGGTATGGATCCTGGCCGCTGGAACAATGTGTTTTAGTAAGTGGGAAAGATTGCAAGCTTAAATTTCCCCAGCGATTTCATTCTCTTAAAATGACCGCAGAAAGATGAGTTTTCTCGCAGCTATAAGGGTAACATGATATCCTTCCTCTGCTCTATGTTGGTCATAATGAAACTAGCTGGGTTGCCATTTTGCATCATTGTCAAACGCATGCACGCTGAAGTTCTTTGGAGAAAGTGCAGCAAGTGCTTTCTGATCGACCCATTAGACTGATATGCATTTTTAAATTTAGAATGGCACAAAAGTGTTTGGAAATTCGTCTATTGCTTATTGGATACACACATGGCACCTCTGAGCGCCCCCTATGACGTCGAACGAATGCCACATGGGAGAATGAGACCGCCTATTTCAGGGGTGAGCACTATTGCTTCGTATGCCTGGTTGAATATGTGTGTGAGATCATCGATATTTCGAGTAGAATGAAATAAAATATAGTTGTCCGTGTAACGACAACTTAGAGGTTAGAAGAAGACACCGCAGTGTCGGATAAGGGACCGGGTGTGTGTGTGTGTGATCAGCAGCATCTGCGGTGAATCACTCATATCCAAAAGGAGCATTGAGTGACCAATACTGAAGTCAGTTAGTTGTTGGTTGACGATAGGCTATCTGGGGCCACGCCGGAATGTCCGTTGGTCTCGAAATGGCTTTAAACCAGGGGCAAGTGAGGTTCTTGGTGTATTATGTCAGCCCTTCACCCATGCGTACTAGAGGCCGACAGGTGGGTAGATGACAAAGTGCCAAAGTGAGAAGCAACCGGTTGAAGGCTCTAACCAGGTTAGCATGTGTCATGTACTCTCAACACCGGTCAAAACACAGTAGTCACCGACTCCCACCGACAAGTCATAGTAGGAAAGTCAATGGAGCGAGGGTATATGCCCTATGGCTCAATTTAACAATTACACTATAACCCCCTAACTTTGAATTTTAGTGGTTGGTCCCCGCCAACCCATGCTCTTCCACTGCCGTGAAACAACATTATGGTCATGGTGAGTGCCGGCAGGACAGTTGGGACAGAGTCGGATCAACGGGTTCGGAACACAACTGACCGATGGAATAGTAGTGAACTGAGAGCGAACTGTCAAAACGAGTAACACATAAATAGAGGTGGGGGACACAGTGGTTCGGTGAATGCCACATGTACGGGCGCGTATTGGTTGACAAGCAGGTGGTGAGATGCGGATAAAAAACCCGGATGTTGGTCTTAGTGGACTGTGTCGGCATTCGCACCGGGGTGGCCATGAAGGAATATGCGAGGCTGTCGTCTGATGTCGTTTTGGGAAGTTGACGCGACATCACTAGCATCGTCAAATAACAACATCATCATATGCCCTCGCCAGACAGTATGGAATGTAACAGCAACAACAACCAAAGCGAAATCGTGATGAAGCGAAAGCCTGTCCAATGATTTAGATAAGAGAGAAGCAGTTGATTCGCACTTCCCTCATGTACAGATTTTAAGAACAAGATCATAGGCGTTAGGATGACAGAGATGTCTGGGCAAAGAGCTAATGCAATGAGAGAAGGCAACAATCTCCCTTCGGTCTAATATACAGTGGAGGTATATATATATATATATATATATATATATATATATATATATATATATATATATATATATATATATATATATATATATATATATATATTGCAACAGTCTATGAATAGACATTGAGCCATCGGAAACCATGGAACTCAAAACAAGGTACAGAAATAGTAAAAGAAAACACAACACATCAAAGTCCATGGTTTCGTCAGAGGGCGAGATACTACCCGGTTGCCCAAGCCGAAGTAGGGTGTTGACGTAGGAGACACCACCCCGAGGCTTTGGCTGAATAGCCTGCCCGCAAAGCAGCGGAGCGAATTCAGGGAATCGCGCCCATTGGGAGTCGGTGACTGATTGCTCAGTTCATACGCCTTTCGTTTGTCCCTTTGTCAAACAGGGGCCCAATGCGGATGAATCTTTCGCCTTTTACAGTGGAGGTAAGATGCCAAGTGGCCACCTGACCGAAGCAGAACGTATATCCCTGCAACAAAAAACAGTGACTTTTTCATAGTAACAGGGTGCGTTAACTGAACAAGTGATCGTTCCCACCTTTGGAGTTTCAATCAGTGAGTAAGCACAGATTAGAGGGAGTCTATTGAGGAAGTAGAAGCCAAATGTTCGATACAATCACGATTCAGAATGTTAAGATACCCTCGAGGTGAATTAACGTGGAAAAGGTTAGAATAGCCAGAAAACGGAGGGACAATCTGTGTGTCGTGCGTTCTATGACCAGATTCGTCGTGGTGTCCACGTCTGCGCATAAAAGCATGTGGGAGAAACGGTGGTGAATTCCCCACGGAACGACCACCTTTGTCATTTGCAAATCAAAACGGTTAATATCCATGTGTTATGCGTCAGGGGAGCAAGGTCAATGAATTCTAGTTATGCACATGTCATGTACATGAAGGTCTCACTGGATGAGCTGTCTGTGTTAACATCGTAACGATGCAACTGGCTAGACAGACAAGAGATTAGTGCCGCTCGGACCTTAGTTAGATTAGGTCAGAGACAGCAAGTGTCATATGTAAACCACGCAAAAGGGCACATAATGCAAGAATTCTGGAGCATTGGAGACCGAAAATCTCAGTGCGCTTATGTACAGGTAAAAAACAATGTAATCATCTAAATGATCTGATAATATCGAAATGCATTCAATCCCGATGTCATCTGATCCCGCAGACGCACGACTAGAGACGCGAATGACCGCGGTAGGGAATGTGGGAGGGGGTGGTGCTAGGGATAGGTGAGTATGGGGCAAATGACAGTTGGTGCAGTCAAAAGCCGTTGGAAGTGTGGAACAACAAAGGAAGAGTATCGTTAATAGCTAAGTGGTGACCGGCTGCGAGATCAGAAATGGCGGGGAGGTAAAATAGATGCTGAAAAGTGGAGCGGTTTGGAAGAAAGCGTTAGGCTATCAGTTGCATAAAATTTGAAGATTAAAACCTCTCTGTCTTGAAAAGCAAATTTGTCTGCAAGTTGGTGGAGTTAGTATAATTTGGAGATGATACGTCAGCCAAAATCGGTAAGAAAAAAATAGAGGAAAAGTGGGTAACACAAGTCAGGAGTTACCGCGAGAAGACAGACTGTTCATCCGAGCAGAGGTTCTGTTCGACGGATCACAAGTTAAGCTTATCGGCTGACGATCTGAGAAGTAAGGTGGTCGGTTCACATGTTAGCCTTACGAGTAACTACTTAGAGCGCAGCCGATCGCGGCACGGTCTAATCGAGGCAGCGAGCGTGATGGAAGCGATGACCTGAAAGAATGTGACTAACACCATCGGAAGTTGGCATCAAACAGGGACAAATGGTTGTGGTTTGGCCGAAGACTGGGTCAGCAGCACTGGTCTGTGGACTAAGGTCAATCAGATCAAATTGCACGTGGCCACCCGTTCGGTGATGTTAAGCCAATCGACTAATCGAATTGCGAAAATGCTGTCGAACGAAACTACTTTGGAACCCCCGACTCATTGAATGCGTTTTCAGCTTGTGAAAGTGGAGTTACGAGTGGGTCGCGTGATACGACTGACGGATAAACAGCTGTATGAGACAGGCGTAGAGTACGCGACGGAACTTAACAAATAGCACGGACAGACGCAGATCGAACACAAAAGGGTATCAACCCCCCACGGTTGCTCTTCATCCCATGTGCGGAGAAACCTGCGCAGCAACCGTGGATCAAATGATCGCTAGGTGCATCGGGTGAGTTAAAGCTGGAAGTAACTAACGCAGCCCCCTGATTAACCGACATAAAGTGGAATTGAATAACCAAATGAATGAACACCGACCGATGGATGATATCGATGCCGTTGCACCCGAAGTCAAAAGGGAGCAGAATAACAGACACCACACAGTGTGCAGCGGCGCAGAGTACCTTCCAGCCATTTGGCCGACCTCGATTAGTTCATTGCCTCTTAATCTCCAACCCGTTCTTTAGCCGGATATTACTACACTTTAGTGTCGAAATATGTTACCACAGAAATCCTTCTCGGAGTTAAAACTAAGCTAGTTCCAAATCCGTTATTTCGTCTATCCAAAAATATGCAAGAAAAGCTGAGAAAAGTAGCACAACAGGTGATTGGCGTCAGAACTATCCCAATGGAAATGAGCATGAAGACGTCGGGCCTAATTTCCCCCTTGGAAGTGACAGCTCGTTTGGTCGAATAACTTCTGTGCAAGCGATACTAGAGGGACTGTCGCGAAGCTGCGCGCTTTTCGTCACGTACTTCGCATTGGCCCAAAGGCCGCCATCGTCACTCTTCCATCCGATGATTGCAGCTCGCATGGCTTTCGTTTCCTAGTACCTTCAAAGTTAATAAGTGTTAATGCCAACACAGTGTCATTGTACGCATATAGCTCTGACCATAGTTGATGGACTAAAATGATACTTGGTTCTACGCCGCACGATAGTAGTTTAGGAGCGCTAATTAACTATAGAGCTAAAGGGGTCGAAAGCCTGTACGTTGTATTGGACACTGCGCTGCCACACAACCACCAACGGTCGCGCGTGGTCCAGAGGTATTGTGAAGCCGCATGCTCCGCCGCGCAGATTTGTACTGGTGCTACGTGGATTACAAGGCAGACGACGTTTCCGCTCGGTCACGGTGATCGACTCAGAGCTAGAGGGGGCTGCTGAAAGACGGAGTTAGGGGTGCAAGGGAAAAACTAGAGTTGAACAGAGCTAACCATACAGTCGATAAGTCTGAGTAAATTCCTCCAACTTGGCGGATTCAGGCAGGCAACAAACACACTTGAGAAATCTCAACACCGTACTGCATTGCAGAACCATGGACAACGCCGGTCCGCCGCCTCTGTCCGAGACTCAATGACTTAAGTCTCTACACCGTAAGAGGTATCTTCGTGCTGGATGTTCGCTTGGATAGACGAAGATACGCGGTGCTTGCTAACCCCAATAGGGCACAACGGCCGCCTAGTGTTTTTCAGTGTGAGAGCAGGTTGCAGCTAATCTTCCCAAGTGTCTGATTAGCGTAAGGTGCTCGTTACGCATATTGCGACCGGCTTGCCCGACGAAAAAGTGATTGCAATGGACGCGAACAATTTTTGTGGCATGAGAATTCGGTGATATACGCGCCTTGAATGTTGGGATAAAGAGCGCTCAGCCGGACTGGTAAGGTCACCACCGCTTCGGTTTTTGTTCGCATGCCCAGGAGGTCGGGTGTCACGTGACTGTGTGAGTCAGCCACTCGGCGACCCACATTGGCTTGTTGTCCACTGGCTAGGCTATCGCTCTCGCCTACCACTATGCATGTGAGTGCGTGTGTGTGTGGGGGTGGAGGGACCATCCACGTCGTGTATTCAATGCAAACATGCACAGACGACACAGTTAAAAGGTTGTCTGTGTGCCACTGCGAAAAAGGACGTAGACGAGATAGGACACGCAAACACGATAAGATGCGGAAATCGATAGAGCGAGTAAGAGTGATATGGTGTCTGTGGGACGGAAAGTACATTGACCTTCACCTTGACGTCGTCCTGTAACGCATCCACGACGGGAGCTTCGAGGTCAAACACGCGTTGACAGGGGACGGGGTGTCTGAACAAAGCGGTTGTTCTACGGACAGGCTATTGGCCCAGTCGGGTTGAGGACAGACGGAACGGCGGCCGTGATTAGCGCGCTTGGTCGCTCGCTCGTTCGACGTCAAACGTTGAGACAGCGGAATTTGTGTAATGTGAGTTAAATGATGAAACCGAGGTCATGTTGGTGAATACAGTCACAGGAATCGGTCCAGTCGAGAGCTGCTCCGGCGTAAAACAGTCCGGGTAGAGGTGGTGTGTTAAAATAGCAGTAACCCATGAATCAAATAAAACATACCACAATGTGACAGTGCGTACTGAACCATCAGGATTAAAACAGGTGGATCAGAGGTTAGGGAATTCACTTGGCAATGTGTCATTGTGAAATCCAGGATAGTTCGGACAAGTACCGGTGTGGTCGCGCAGAAGCACTGTGAAACGGGCTGTCGTAACAGGTTATTCTATAAGGACGCATCAGGGGTGGGCATGTCAATGAGTGACATCTAAACAGTGTTAGTACGGAGGGGACTGACCTTTCATCTTCATGCCCACGTAGAGACATTTGCGATAGCGACAGATTTGACACTTGCCACGGCTCCCCTTGGCGACCACGCAATTGCCGCCGGTGGGACAAACATTGGTCGGTTTTGTGTCCGTTAGCGAATGACGCATGAAAAATTTCTGATAGAACACAAAGAGAGGCAGAACACAATTAATAATGAAAGCAACAATTATGAAAAGTTTAACATTCATTAGGGGAAATTTCGAATGGGATTAATGTGACTGGTGGACCCAAACGCAATTTAAGAGGAATTGTAGGTACCATATGTGGGACCGGTAAACCAACCAACTTGGATAGCGATAGTTACCCCGTATGGTCGTACAAAAATTTGTTGCCGCAGAATCCGCCATACATCGCATGCTCATAGAGCTAGGATGGGGAGGCATTTCTGAGGAAATGCGCATTGTTCAAAAGGTTAGGGAGGAAGGCGGACGCTGAAACAGGGATATATATATATATATGTATATATATATATACACATATATGGTTGGCGGCATTCGGTTTCGGATTTGCCTGTCACTGTGGCCAGCCACAGGAAGCCTGTGCCAACAGAGGGACCATGGATGGCTTGCGATGCACCACCCACAGCTCCAACCACACACCCCATATCCAGTGTAAACCCGAAGGAATAAGACCGCAAAGCACGTGGATGGGAGCCACGTTTCATCAACGGAGCCGGCCCACACTACTTCACAGGCAAACACAAGCACGCTGTATTTGGGAATCAAGCGCACACAAGGCGGTGGCTAGACCGTAGTCCGCTCCACACTGAGTGCATGGAACCACTCTTCGAGCCTAACACGGCCACAAGGACCGTGCACCCCGTCTCCTCCAGGAACGACAAACTGTCGCCTGCAGCCAGTATGGACGAGGTGGTTACCTTGTCAACATGCACATCAAGCGCAGCCACACCGGGGATATCAAGCAACAGCCAATCACTTGAAACGACAAGATGAAATAAAATAAATCGAGTAACGCATATAGATGCGGTGGCATAACTCTTCGCTAGATTAGCATATGAAGCAAGTTGGTTAGTAACGAATCCGCGATAAGGAAAAAATATCCACAAGTAAGTTAAAAACCCTGCAAACGTAATAAAGTTACCGAAAATAAGCGCAATTAGTGTAAGCAACATGGCCAGTTAATATAAGATTATTCAGGCAGGCAGAACAAAGCAAATAAAGTGGAATGAAATTTATCCAGCTTAAAAAGACCTAGTTTAAGTGTAAGTTGGTTTAGCCCAGCTGCGGTGAAGAAGCATCAGGAATGCAACATCAGCCTCAGTATGGGGCTGTCATTCTCCACAGACTGACTGGCACTCGTGAAAGACAGATTCGTGAAGAGCAAGCCGGATTTCGCCGAGGTCGGGGTTGCATCGATTACATCTTCACCTTGCGTCAAGTTTTGGAGCACCGCCATGTTTATTGGTGACACACCGTTGTCGTGTTTCTTGACATAAAAAGTGCCTTCGACTAAGTCGATCGATGTGCCCTTTGGGACTGTCTGCTGAGGAAAGGTGTGCCTGATAAATACGTAAACATTATCAGAGCACTGTACGCGCATAGTTTGGGCAGAGTGAGGGTTTATGGCAAATTGTCGCCACCCTTCAGTATCACCAGCGGTGTGAGACAAGGTTGCCCGCTGTCACCTTTCCTCTTCAACTTCGCTATTGATGAAGTCATGAAAACAGGGTTCGCTGGACACAACCTAGAAGGGGTGGAGCTACTTCCTGGTGAGCGACTTCTGGACTTAGATGATGATATTGCCATAAACTGTGACAGCTCCCAAACATGCCAAGCAGCACTGGACCGATTAGCACTGGTCGTCCATCGTTTTGAGCTATGCTTTGCTCCATTGAAATGCAAAGTACTTCTCCAAGATTGTCAGGGACCCAACACTGCGCTAACGCTTTGTGGTGATCTTCTAGAAGTCGTTTAGGAATTCAAGTACATGAGCAGCTATATTAGCACCCGTGGGATTGAAGATGAGGTTACGAACCGTATAGCAAAAGCTCGAGGTGCTTTTGCCAATCTCCGCCACCGGTGGCGCAGACGCGACATTACTCTCGCCCTCAAGGACAGAGTTTATAACGCAGTCGTCCGTTCAACTCTCCTATATGGTTGTGAAACCTGGCCCATCAGGTCGACAGACATAAAGAGGTTCATCATATTCGATCATCGTCGCCTTCGCAGCTTAGCTCATGTCTGGTGGGAGCATCGCGTGAGCAATGAGCGTGTCGGCGTCGCGTATTTGGTGCAGGAAGAGTGAGTGAATCGTTCAGCACCATTATATCACGCACCAGGCTCCGGTGGTTGGGCCACGTGTTGCGTAAGTCAGCACACCGACTCCCGCGACGTGCATTGTTTGCGCGTTGTGGGTGCGCTTGGAAGAGGGGAGGCCAAGCGATGACTTGGTCGAGAGAGATGAAAAAGCCACTTCGAAGTTGGCGTCGGTTGGTTGGTTGTCTGACTGGGGTCCTAAGGACGGTGGACACACTTGCTGATATGGCTTGGAGCCAGCCTCAATGACGTTTGTGTTGTGAGTTCCTTTGTCCATACCCCTCCTGCTTAGCATCCCCTTCCAATCACGATCTCACTCGTTAGGTATAATATGACTCTTTTTATTGCATGATTGCCAGCTGTTAGCTCTCCGGAACGATGTCCATCCGTTACCAGGGACTCAGCCGGCGTGCCAATGTTTGTTTTCCTTTTCTTGTCCTTTGTATTGCGGCAGAATAGCTGAAGTGTTTTTCCCCTTTAGCTAACGTGTATAATGATGATGAGGATGACAACTTCTATTGAAGGTTGTTCCGACGAGGTCGCCAGAGCTGATGAAGCGCCTGTAAGCAAACCGCTCACACAGACTAACATCCACACCACATTGGCAAACAATGCGTGACGAGGTAGAAGATGGTCAATCGGTGTTCGTGAGGTGCGATCTCGTTCAGTGTCCTCATCAAGCAAGTGTGGGGTCCCAAAAGCACCCGTCTCGAAGCGGACCAGTCACTTAACATTAGCAGTGTTTTGAGACCGCCAAACTGAAGGCAGTGTTAATAAGCAAAAATGACGAGAGATAAACTAAGCGTTCGAAGAATTGTGAGGTCTATCGGTGCACGCAAAGCAATGAGTATCAGCGAACTACTCGCTGCGGCGATGCATTGGCACCATTGCCCATGGCTTCCAGCACGGTGCTACCACTGTGGTACATAGTCGTTTCATCTTAAACTGGGCATTGTAAACTCTGTCCTTCAGAGCGAGAGCAATGTTACGCCGGCACCACAGGTGGCAGATATTAGGAAAAGCGCCTCGAGCTCTTGCTATGCGGTTTGTCATCTCATCTATAATTCCGCGGGCGCTGATATAGATGCTCTATGATATGAACGTAAACACGTGTGAAATTGGTCATTCGGGTGCAGCGTTGTGAGCCGACAACATCCAACACTTGTGTGCCTCAGATGCGGTGCTGAGACTCAAGCTGTATTTAAGAGCAAGTAGAAAGGTTTCTGTACAACTCTATCGAATTACAAAAAATCAAAAACATTCAGTTGTGAATCATCAGCAGTTGTGCCTGGTCCGTTAATCTTTATCCTTGTTCGGTTAGGAATTTGTACTAGTGTCATTATTTCCGGGCATACAATGTCTTCTTTTGGCATTGTATGTGCATCGTTGCACAAAAGCACAGTTTTCCGAAATAATCGTCGATACGGGTTTTAAAACACCTCACAGAATCGGCCCCTATTAATCCTTCGAGTAGTGTATTCCATAAGTTTACGATTCTTCGTTCGATACAAAGCTGATGTGATACTTTGTTCAGGTTGGGGACCCTGAGTTTGTAACGATGTCCTCGGGTGTTACAGGGTTCCCGCAGGTGAAATATTGGCCGAAGTATGGGGAAGTGAGTTAAGTGTAGCACTCGATGGGTCATGATAAGGTCAATTCTTACTCGGCGATATGATAGTGTGTAGAGTCCGAGCCTTTCACAACGTTTTTCATAAGGAAGCTTTTGTAGACTCGGTATCATCCTAGTTGCGATATGCTGTATTTTCTCCAGCTTTTCAGTTTCCCATTGGATTATCGGATGGTAAGCTGGAGCACCGTATTCAAGGATTGGTCTAACAAGCGAGGTGAAGAGACGAGGGACCGTTTCTTCGGACCATGTGGAGAAACTGCGTCTCAATGCCCAGAGCATACGAAGTCCCGCACGGTACAGTTTCTCTGTATTTTCTAGTGATCTCATATCATGTCGTGAGAGAACTCCTAAGTCTCTGACAGATGTGTTGGGTTGGAGCAACTGGCCGTCCAAGGTGTATGGTCTAGTGGCTGGACGTCTGGTGATACTGATGAACTCCGACTTGCTTGCGTTAAGAGGGAGTTGCATTTCAGTGGACCACGCTGACAGTCGCTCTAAGTCATGCTGGAGGCGAGCACAGTCGTCCTGGTTCTCAATGATCCTCCAGATTTTCAAATCATCTGCAAACAGGGCGCATGGTGACTGGAGCTGCTGCGGAAGATCGTTGATATGAATAAGAAATAATACTGGCCCAAGTACAATTCCTTGAGGCACGCCACTAGTCGATGGGAACCAGTCTGTCAGCTAGTCATTGACCTGTACTCTAAACTTTCGTCCTACAATAAACTCGTGTAACCACTGAAATAACGTGCCATCGATTCCGTATGTCCTCAGTTTACCAAGGAGTACCTCGTGGTTCACTCTGTCAAACGCCTTACTAAAGTCGATGTACACCACGTCAACATCCTTCAGTTCGTTGAGAGCTAGTACCCACTGGTGGTTTGCGTACATCAAGTTGGTGATGCAGGATCGCCCTTTCCTAAAGCCGTGTTGCGCTAGCGTCAATACGTCCAGCGATTCGAAGAACGATAGCAGACACTTCTTCACAACCTTCTCGAGCACTTCGGATAATACCGAAGTCAAACAGATCGGTCTACAGTTCTCTAGTTTACTCGGGTCACCACCCTTGGGAAGCGGTCTCACTATCGAGCATTTCCAGTCGTTCGGGACACATCCTGCAGAGAGCGATTTATCGAAAAGGTTTGTCACGGCTGGTGAGATGAAAATCGATAGGGACTTGAGTATTAATGGGTGAAGTTCGTCTGGTCCG